ATAAAGTCCGAGTTTTCATATTAATACTGTTTGAATTCGAGTCCGGACGTTGTTGTATCATAGTGCATTAGGGCATGTCGATATAACCAAAAGCAAAGACGTCGAACGATATATCGGGCTACGCCGACTATACAGAGCCACTCTACGGATTTTGTTCCTACAAAACGTGGGAAAAAGCTAATGTTCGCGACGGGCAAAAAATTCCCACTGCCTGACTCGAACAAGCGGCCTCGTCATTGCATAAGCCATACGACTAACTAAACTTACTAGTGACGCGCTCTACCACTGAGCTAAGCGGGACTTGATGAGGCACTGGAAATGGGCATCGAGTTCCCAAACTAGGCAGTCCAACACGTGATTCATTCGGTTCAAATTTGGCCGCTGTTTGTCATAGATCTAGATGTTGACGTTTTTGCACTTTTCTTTATATCTTCGGCACACACTCAAGGTCGTTCGGTTAACGGACTGAATAACAAACGAACAGTATACACAAAGACCGCTTCCTCCACCATTCCAAGGACAGCGCATCCTCCCCTTGGTACGTACGATACAGAAAAAATAACTAGTCAGATGCGAGATTGCAGGTTGTTGTCGATTGTGGGCCATAGCAAAAAAGACAGAAAACGAGAACAGATGGGGGTTATCAAGAGTCACAGTCGTTTTGGGAAAGACAGATGCAAAGTCGTCAGCGGGTCATCAGGTCGTGACGGGGGATCAGACGGATGTCGTCGGTTTCTCCTCGACGACCCACGAGTCCTTGGTATCCTTGGCCGGGGAATCGATCGAGATGGCGGCGACAGCGGCGGCAGCAGCCTCTGCCTTGGCCTTGTCAGCCCGCTCCTTCTCTTCCTTTTCCTCCTTGGCCTTGCGCTCCTTCTCCTTCTCCTCGGCCTCGCGGTCGAGTCGGGCCTGCTCGCGCTCCTCCTTGCGCTTGCGCTCCCTCTCCTCCTCACGTTCCTTACGCTCCTTCTCCTCACGCTCGCGGCGGCGCTTCTCGCGGTCTGCACGCTCCTTGGCCTCGCGCTCCTCTTTCTCGCGCTGTAACCTGGCCTTGAGCTCGCGCTCGGAGATTACCCACGCAGCGGCGTCGTCGGCGGCAGCTTGAGGACGGGTCTTGTTCTTCAACAAGTCTAGAAAGAATCAATCAGGCAAGCTTCTAGTGAGTGAGGAAAAGCAACGCACAGCCCTGGAGCGACGCAACCGAAAACTCTTCATCGGGGATCGCGGCAGCAAACTTCTTGGCGAGCTGTGCAAGTGTCGCGGCATCGAGCGGCTTGGATGGGGCGAGCGTGGGTGTCAGCATGCCATCGGCCATGCGCTCCTCTTTCGCGTCAGACGAAGACGAATGCTTGCACTTGCACTCTTCCACGGGGATGCCAGCTGCGCGCTTTTCCTCTTCGATGGTTGGAGGAGGACCGGGCGGGATGCTGTCGGCCGAGGCGGCGGGGAAAAAGTTGTTGAAGAGCTGCTCTGACTGCCACTTGCTCGCATTCTTGAACTCGATCCAGACGTCCATGCGGCCCGGGCGGGATAGCGCGGGGTCGAGGCGCTCCAAGTGGTTCGTCGTCCTGAGCCACGATTGAGTTGAAGCTCTCATGGTCAAAGGGTTAACTCACGCAAAGAGAATTCGGCCCTCGCTCGCAGCAACACCGTCCAAAGCGTTGAGCAGACCACTCAAGCTGAGGGTGTTGATATCCTCCTGCTTGTTGTTCCCATTGCCGTCCTTGTTGTTCCCGTTGTTATTGTTATTGTTGTTGTTCGAGTCGTTGTTGTCATTGCCGTCCTTTTTCTCGGCCGTTGGCGCGCCGGTGGATGTATTGTCTCGCGAGGTCGAGCGAGTAAACGCAGCATCCAAATCCTCGAGGAGCACAATGCATCGCTAAGCACGTGAATGATCACGTCAGCGATCGCGGTAACCTCGATGTAAACAAATACTCACGGCAGGGACCCGACCCATCAACGCGGTGAGAGTGGCATCGTTGATCCAACTCGATGACAAAGAGACGACATAGATATCCAATGCCAATTCACCCGCAATTGCGTGGATGAGCGAGGACTTGCCGGAGCCTGGTCAGGTGAACGTGGGGTGAGTGAGGCTCGGGCATCTTTACAATTAGGGGCACGGACCGGGAACACCGTGGAGAAGGTAGCCTCGTCGGAAGGGAATGCCGCGATCGGCGTACCACTTCTCACTCTTGAGGAAATCTCGGGTGTCGGCCAGCAGCATCTCCTTGACACCTGGCGCAAGGACAATGGAGCTCATCGGACGCTGGGAGCCGAGATTAGGCTCGTGACTGGGCGTCTGTGATAGATCTTACCTTTTGCCTCGAATCGGTCCATCGCCAAGAACCGTGCTGTGAACCAACAGACCGGGATGAGCTTTGACGAGAGCGGTGACGGCGACGGCGACGCACCGAATCTGCAAAGAATATCTGCACACGGTGCTCTGCATCACGCTCGTACTCTTTCTTTGCTTCCAGAACCAGCTGTTTCAAGATGTTGTTGGAGCGAGCGACGACCGAGATGGACAGAAGTTCGTCGCCGCAAGACTGCCTTGAACGGACGACTCGCAGCCAGTGGCCTTTGTAGTAGATGGTGTGTGTCGTGTCGAACCTGAGA